CTGTCATCCTGCAAAATTATATATTTTATAGTCTTGATTTTCTTTTCCTTAAATGAGCGGAATCATGATTTTCAATACTACTCATATGCTAACCCCTGAGCTCCTTTTAAGATCCTACTGGTCTACGTATGAACAATTTTAATCTGTGGTATTACAACGACCAATTATGTGAGCTCAAGTAGGCTGGTAGAACATAACCACCATTCTAACCTAACATAACATTTAGTACTTTCGAACATTTATATATGCTGTTGTATTGATTATGTGATAATAAGTTAGGTGTTTATGATAAATGCCGATTGGGACCGATTCAACTATCTTGAAACAGCTTTTATTCTTCTCGCTGCATTTAAATTTAATATTCCTTAAGATGTATTATTTTATAAAATCAATTATAATTTTAACGTTAAGTATATTAAAATTCTGCTGACATTATGTAATGAAATAATAATACATTATAATTATAAATAATATAATAGTAAAATAATTAATATAAAATATATATTTTTTTTATATATATTTCAACTTTAAATCAACTCATTTTGTGTATAAGTCAGTTCAAGTTAATTAATGTAAAAATTTAAGAAGAAAGTAAGTTTGTCACTAAATGTATATTATTTTTCATTCCAACTGTACAATTATTTATTCTTAATATGTACACATAATTATATACACACATTTTAAGCACTTAAAATGTACACTTAGGCTATATGTCAAACACAAGAACTTAATAAAACAAAACATCTTAAGGACAAAACTATCTCAAGTAGACAAAGTAATTAAATTTACTTAAATTATATTTGTGTTCTTCAGAAGCAAATAATTTTTTACTTATGCCTTACATTTTTGACTACTACAACCACTTTAACAATAGATTCACTTACTAGGACAAATGTTGCAGTAGAATATGACAGTGGCCCTAGGCAGGACTGGTAAGATATTAACTCAAATGTCATTATAAACGGAAAATAACTGATTCACTCACAAATCTGCACAACATCCCTTCTGTTATACTAATGACTATTTAATTATTTGCAATATATACATATATATCATTATATATGTAGATACACTGATATTATAGCCAATTAATCTATTATACAATATATATAAAGTGTAGATGTATGTTCAGACACAACTTTATTAAGCAAAATACACAATTTCTTCTTCATTTTTGTTTTCAAGGTTTAAAAAATGAGCTAAAACGGGCTTACATAAAATTAATTTTGAACAAAAATTAAAGTAAGATAGTAAAAGTAATGACTTTTGGTTTTTTAAAAACTTATGATTATATGAAATGGCTTTATATTTGTAATTTATAAAGCCATTTTATTTTTGTATTTCTTTGTGGCTTTATATTTCTCTTGCTTAAAGTAAGGATTATGAGTAAGTAATAAGTTATCTGCTATATTTTTAACTGGTAGGGTTATAGAACTGAATATGTTCATGTTAAAAAATATTTAATTATAAAATTCATAACTACCTAAATTCGTAAAACTTTCGAAATAAATTTCTACAGTAAACTTATATAAATTTTTAAAATATTTTTTTTGTTCGTGAAAAATAATTTACAACATATGTGCTGTGATCTTGTTATGAACTAAAACAAAATATAATTAAATCACATAAATATAATTATCAAATTATTATTAAAATTAGTGCTAATAAAAACTTGTCTTATATGAATATTTTTCTAACATTCAATATAGATGTATTATATTAATATTTAATTTATATAAATATATAATTAATATTGTTATTAATTTAACAATTTACATTTGATTGTTAATGATTAATTTGAATATATTAACATACAAAATATTTCTTTTACTATGAATATTAAAAATTAATACAGCGGCTAACTGAAAGTCAACAATTCATAGAACATAGCCTTCATTTGTCGTAGCTAAAGATGTAGTAAACATGAATTGTGATGAAAAACAAACGAAAGTAAATATTTTAATTTTCAACTATATGAACAATAATTAATAAATATATTAATTAATAAGAAATACTAATAAAATAGACTAATAAAAAATATTTCTGTACAAAAGTATATTTTGAGTGTGAATTCTCGTGTCAAATTTCAATTAATATAAATAAGCGAACTATCGCAAAACACAATCAAAGCGAGAAAAAAATTTTGACAGTTGAATGTTGATAGTTCATTTGTTTACATGTTGAGCGTCATATATTAAGGTTTTGCAAAGTGAATAAATAAACATTGAATTGAACTCAAAGTAATAATTTATTATATTAATAATAATATGTATAATAAATCAACGTATAATTTTCAAATGGTCGCTTAATATAAATATCAAAAAGTTTTAACGTAAATAAAGATTTTTGCATGGTTTATTGACATTTACTTGTTTGTTGCTTGGCGCCTATATTTACTTGTACAAAAAATACAAATTAAATAAATATGGATAAAAAAATGAAATTCTTAATTGGCATAACTAAAATTTTTGATACAACTTTCAAAATACATGATGCCTATTTAAAATCCAATAGAAGAAGATGGTGGGTGCAGCCAGTCAATCTAAATCGTGACACTGATGGTTTTTATGAAACTGTGACAAAATCATTAATTGAAAATAATAATGAAGAGTTCTTTAAAAAAACCAAAATGACAGTAGAAAAGTTTAATACATTGCTGCATTTGTTAGAAGATCGATTAGAGCATTATTCGCAAAGAAAACCAATAGAACCATCTCTTCGTTTATCGTTAACCCTGATGTATGTATTGATTAAATAATTTATATAAACCTAAATAAAATATAATTTTTATTATTTCGTAGTTTCTTGGCTAGTGGATGTAGCGTTCAAGAATTGGCCTTAAATCACAAACTTGGGTTGTCTACTGCCCGTAAAATTATTTATGAAACTTGCAATATCATTTGGGAGGAACTGAATAATACTTTTATGTCTCCACCGAGTGCTCATGAGCTAAAAATTATAGCAGATGAAATATATGATGCTACTGGAGTTCCAAATTGTTTAGGAGCACTTGATGGAAAATATATTACAATTGTGTGCCCTGCGGAAAGTGAAAATGTTAATTTGAAATATAGTAAAGCGGTTAGTCATATCCTTTTGGCAGCATGTGATCATAATTATGCCTTCACATTTGTGGATATTGAAAGATATGGTAATAAACAGGATGATGGCATATTTACAAGAAATGGATTTGGTAGTGAGATTTTCAATGAAACATTTCAAATTCCAGATAACAGTAATTTGCCATATACTGATGTCCCATTTCCCTATTTCTTTGCTGCGAATAATACTTTTCCGCTACGAAAACACATAATGCGACCTTTTCCAGGAAATAACTTAAGTGAAGATAGAAGTAATTTCAATAAAAAATTATCTGCAGCTACGGAACGAATCGAGAACGCATTTGGAATTTTAGTTCACCGTTGGCGTATTCTTGAAAAACCGATACAATGTTTACCTAAAAACATTGATAAAATTGTTTTGGCAACAGTTGTTTTACATAATTTCTTAATACTTGAGAAGGATGATTTATATTTTACAACGGATTTGGTAGATCACGTGGAAAATGGAACTCATATTAAGGGTACTTGGAGAGAAACAACACCACTACCATCTCAAACTACAATGCCACAGCGAAGCACTTCTTGTGCTTTTCATTTACGAAATATTTTAAAAAGTTATTTAACTACAACTGAACCCTTTGACTTTGTAGTCTGTTAAACTTGATAAATAAAAATTATTGTTAAAGAAATTAAGAAAATTAAAGACATTATTTTAATTAACTTTAAACATTTATTCTAAAAAAAAATTTCTCCAAAATGAGTTGCTTACGACATTTATTTGGTATATTAATTTTCATTATTATTATGTAGACAATATTATTTTATATTACTTATGCCTACTCATGTACAAAGAATAATTAATAATTATTAATAGTTTTGTATTAAGATTGCTTATACTTAGTAATAAATCAAAATAAAATCAAAAATTAAAATAAAACTCGACTTGTCTGTATTTGAAGTATAGACTGGATTATAAAACTAATCCTTAATCTTGTGGCCAATTAAATTTACTAGACGTAGCCAATAAGTTGACAAACAAATAAATATTGTATTGATTTATATTGTATTGATATATACTTATCTTATAATAAAAAACAAGTCATCAAATTGGAAGATGGTTTCAACTGCTGCACAGGATTGCTTGCAAATACAAAGGTTCATACCTTTGCAATCGCCTTGTATTTAAAAAGCCAACTCCAATGTATCATTTTTTCATTATTAAACATTACTTCGGTCATAATGTTAAAGAAAAAACATTGCCCCAATTAACTATGCCCATGATTGTATGGTGAGTTTATTCTAAAATAAAAAATTAAGCGAAATAAATAAACGGCTTAAGCTTAAGATCAACGAATAGGAGAAATTTTAGTATTTCTCCCAGTTTCTATTTATAACTATAGATTTTAAAACATATACATATATTTTTCTTAAAAATATATATATTTTTCTTTAAAATGTATATATATATATTTCTCCTAAAAATACATATTTACAACCCTAAATATTCCTAAAGGTTTTAATTGTAAATTTTATGTATATAAGTTTTTAAAATACATTTGTAAAGGCTCAAGGTTTTTACTATTATTTATATAAAAAAACTATTAATTAAACTTTGAAGGAACAATAATAACTTTTTATTTAATAATAAATTAAATGTGCATTTGTAATAAAGTATGAAAACACAAAAAAAAATTCTGTTGTAAGTTTTATTTTCCAGTTCTAATAAAATCTCTGTCTCTAGTGTATTGTACACAAAAAGGAATTACACCTATATTTACATTTATAATTCATTAATTATATTATAAATTCTAAATTTTTATTTAATTGGATAAATGATATACTATTTTTAAACAATCCCAAACCCGGCAACAAAATTGTGGAGAGTCTGTACGCTGTCATAACAGTAAAGTCTACAAAATTCACTTGTCGAAAAAAAAACAGCTGATGTGGGCCACTTTGTTGTGGAAGATTAAGAACTTTTTGTGTACATTGAACTTTATTGCAAAAAAAAATTCTCACATTTATGCATTTTATTAGCAATTTTATGAATTTAAACACGAATCTTTAAACCATTTGTTATTAAGTTTTGTAATAAAATAAATTTAAAATGTCTTGTTTTGGGTGTAGCAAAAAATATGGAATGTTTACTAAAGAGGTACAATAAAATGAAAATTTATATGCGTACGAATTTTAAAAAATCCTTAATTATATTTAAAAAAATAATTAACAATATTTTTTTTAATAATATAGTATGGCTGCCCAAATTGTGGTTATTCGTATTGTGCAAAATGTCTAAAACGTCCAATGGCAGTTCCACGGCAAGGTGGTAAAGTTCTTAATGTCTGCCTAATATGCTACGATAAACTCTCGAAGTTGCAGGCAACAGAAAAAGTTATCGATTGTGAGGCATTACCCGGCACTATAGTCACCAAACCATTGTTGAGTCAACAAAAATCTGAAACTGGAATTGCTGCTGTCGCTGCTGATTCATTGTTTGAGTAAGATAATGAACTAAAAAAACATTGATAAATTTATATTT